AGGTTCGGCCAAGCTTGCAGAAATTTAGGTGCTTTTTGGGTCAAAATTGAGTATTAGTAAAGGTAGGAAATAATGGTCAAAGTCAAGGTTGAATAGGAAGGTGACACTTGTCACCCTTTTTAATGCAACTCTATCCTTTTGTCTCTCCAATACAAATATCTTAACACTTTGTAAAATAATATCACTTAATACAAAATTCCAACAAGTTGTCAAAAATATAATGCATTTACCGCACTTGCAGGTCCCACGTTCAAAATACACTCTTAATTTCTCAAAAACTAACCGATACTAGAAAAATCATTTTAAAACTATCTTTGCTCATAAACTTTATCTGGGAAATTTTTCTAATCAAGAAAATGTAGAAAAGGCGGGCGATTAAAAAAATAAACCCTAAAAAATTAGGAAATTTCCGGGTTCTCAAACACATTCTTTCGGGGCGTCACAAGATTAGTATAGTTAGTATAGTTTATCCATCTTGTACTTGTAGCTAAACTTGGATGAAGATTGAGGAGCAAGATGGAGAGTTTGATCTCATGTGACAAGTGCAATATCTCTTCTACTACTTTCTCTCTTGTATTTGATTTCACGTTTAGTTATTATACAAGTTTGGATTTGTGTTTTAGTATGTGTTCTAAAGTTTATGCCTTGGGTTTTGGTTGAATTTTCAATGATTGCTTTGTGTTTATTATTTGGTTATTTGATGCTATTATTTTGAGCAAGTTATCTAGCACTTTTGCTCCTCTAAATCATGATTAACTTGGTACCATTAATTGTAATTATCTAAAAGTGTTGTTTCTTTAATGAAAATTAGTATTTAACACTAGTTCAAGAAATGCTAAATTTAGAGAATACACTCACGAGAGTAGAGGTGCACCAATATGATTTCAATGATTCATTTCATATAATTTCATAAAAGTAATTAACGTGAACCTAATTTCATAACCACGGGAATAGGTATAGATTGGTTATAAATATAGTCGAGTCACTACGAGAGTAGGTTCCACATACATGAGGAATAGACAAGATAGTGGTACTCAATGATCGAAGAATTGTACTTGCATGAGTAGTTAAGGATATCACAACCTAAGGAGCTTTCATTTGCTTTTTTCTTACAAAATTTAGCTTAGTTTTGGTTCCTTTAATTTGTTGATTATCTAAATAATAGAGGGGTTTTATTAGTAACGGGTAGTTGTCCATTTTTTCTTATGGGTTCGACCCTTAATATCTTATATTTAATCACAACCTGTATACATGCACAAAATCATGTGTGGGGTATTTAAGATTTTATAAATATAAAATTTGACTATAAAATAAGATTAATTATTATATGCATACCCCGCGCTCGTCATTGATCTAATGAAAAAAATAATTCAATTTTGTACAATATTTTCCTTTTTCCCTAGAGATGAATCATTGTTCTTCATACAGTTATTTACACTTCAAATTGATCGTAGAAAATTCCAAATCTTACTCCGACAAAATTTCCTCTTCTCGTATGGATTCTAATTCTTTTCAACTATAAAAGAGGTAACTCGTAGACGAATTTAAGGAATTTTTAGGCATATTTTGGAGATTGTAAAAAATGTAGATCTCCAATTTAAAGTAGTTTTTAGTGTTAGTATAGGTTAGAGTAATTTTCCTTGTTTTTTCCCAAGTTAGTTTGTTTGTAATACAATTTTAGATGAAGATTGTAAGAAGAAAATGGAGCTCTTCATGTTCGTTGGAATAAGAGTTTATTCTATTTTTCCGTTTAATAAATTTCGTGGTGTTTGTTATGCTTATTCAATTCAATTATGTCAAGTTAATTACTTCTTATTGTTAGATGAAATCAATTGTTCCTTGCTCATGGTGTACCATTAGTTAATTGATGAATCTTATTTGGATAACATTTTACGTCTCTAGAGTCGATCTTTGCAATAAATAACTACATTGATCGTGAAGCATCTATAGTATTAACTAATAGAAGAATTTATTAGTTAATACTAGTTTATGAAGACATAAACTTAAAGTTGTTATTCACAAAAGTAGGCGAATACTTAGAGGGAAAGTGAGCAATTTCTTGTTCTTAATGAATCTTTAATTAGGTTTAAATGACAAAAATAGACTAAATCTAGTTATTCATATGGTTCATTCACTGGCAAAAGTAAGTTTTACAATATTAGGAGATTAACCATTATTATTGCACAAGATTTATTAATTGACCAAGATAAGATTTTGTGGTTAGAATAATTGAAGAAATCTAAACCCTAAGAATTGTTTATTCTTAATTAAGTTTAGTTTTAATCAATTTTTCTTCTTTTTTTTTTATCTTCATGTGATATTGTAGTCTAAATAGTAAAAAAGTTTGACAAATATTGGTAATTAAATAATTTGCTTTGTAGCATACGAACACTTGAATCCTGTTAGGTTGTTGTTTAAGTATGCAACTAAACCTTTCAATGATACGAAGTCAAATACTAGAAAATTCATTTCCAATCAATTATGCTATTAAGAAATTTGATACCCTTGTTCTAATGATTCCTCTTATTGGATCATTGGCTGAAAAAAAAATTTTGTAACTTATACAGGCATCCTATTAGTAAGCCAATTTGGGCTTATCTATCATTTTCCGATATTATTGATTGATTTTACATTTTATGCATCTCCTTGAAAACTAAAAAATTCACTTCCTTGAGAATTTCGGCTAATTACTCAGATTATGGTCGAGAAAAAAAAATTCGGACATATACCGATCTGACAAGTTTGTGGTACAAATCTATGGGTACCAGGCCGTGTCAGCCCGGCACCCAAACTTCACCAAATATTTTTTATTGACTTCTGACACCATAGCCCGGCAGCGAGATTTTTTTTTTTTTTAAGTTGTTGGCTACCAGGCTGACAATGCCCGGTAACCGACAAGGTCTGAAAAAAAGCTGGCTGCCGGGCAAATTGTTTAAAAAAAAAATGCAAGTTGGTCGGCAGGCTTGTGGACCAAAAAAAAAAAAATTGGCTGGGAGCTCCCGTGAAGCAAAAATGCTGAACCAAAAGAAAAAGTTAGTACGTAGCAAATAACCGGACAAAAAAAAAAAGCTATGTTCCACATAGCAGATAGCGCTATTTTCATCTTTTATTATTATAATGCTTATTGCTATTGGATGTATTCATAATTTGACAATGTCATGTTATGCATTTTTTCTTCTTTTCATTTTTTTTGCCTATTTTGTTTTTATATTGCACAACAAATTTATATTTATAAAATTATATAGTCTATTAAAAATTATATAACAATTTTAACGAATAATTTCTCAACAATTTGATACCTGCATCTTATTGTAAAATGAATGAGATTTTTTTTGTTTAAAACAGCTTTTGTTTAGTTTAACATCTTGTAGAAGTAATTATTGATTTAACAAATCTATTTCATCTAGTTTTATTGTTCGAATTTTGAAATATAATTTAATTAACTCCAAAAATAGTCGGATTTAGTACGTCAGGCGGCATAAATTTTGGATAAAAAATAAGGGCGAAATTGTTGTATTGGAAAATGGACGAAATTTTCAACATTATTTAGTGAATTTTGTATATGTCAAAACAAATATTGTGGTACATTTTATTTTTTAATTGAATTTCATATTTGAAATAATTGAGGCGTAAATATAAAAGAAAATTTAGTGCAAAAAAGAAAATTTTAATTTAAGTATATAGTAACTTTAGTTGTAAATAGTATTAGGATATGAGTTTCAATCGGTTATGATCAGGTATTATAATTATAATAACAAATAAAGGTGATTACTAATATAAAGTATTTATATGAATTTTTAAAAAATTTCTTGCCATTTCATCTTGTCTTTCCTTCATATTAAATTAAATATTTCAATAATACAATTTAATGTATTTATATTTATGTTCATCTTAAATTGATAATTTTATTGAATAATTTAAATAATTATAAAATCTTTATTTCAATTGAAACTTAATAGACAACTAGTTAAAATGTCAAAAAATTAAAAAAATATTATTGATTCGACTCAATGTCATATAGTTACTTATATTATAATAGAATATTTAATTAACTACTTTAATTTATCAAATATAAGTATTGGACATTAGATAATGAATAAATTTTTAAGAGAACTTTTATTGTGATTTTAAAATATATAATATTTTTAATCCATGCATAATTCGCTTTCTCCGGTGCCCGAGTATACTTCTTCGTCCGTCTCCACATAGTAGAGTTGGCCTTCTTGCATTGCTTCTGCTTCTTGTGCGCAAAAAAGTGAACTTTCCACCGTAGACGTAACCTATTGTTCGATTCAGAAAGTGGAGCATTAGCAAATTTTAATTTTTTAAAAAAATTAGACTGGTTGCCATAGTAAACTTTCTACCGTAGACGTAACCTACTGTTCAATTCAGAAAGTGAAGAGTTCGGCATCAGTCACCAACCCCAAAGGTCTGGCTGGCTCATTCACTAGCTTTCCAAGGTTTGTCTTGGCCAAAAACTGTGGAAAGACAGGCATGATAAACTAATAAATTTCTTTTTTCTTACTGCTTTTGTGTATATGATAAGACATCATTACTGTTATGATTATATTTAACAATCTTTTTTTAAGAGTATGGTTAATGAACCTTGCTGTTTTCTTGATTTCTTTTTATTTAGCTACTTGCAAGACAGCTGGAGGGGCATGCAAATGTGACTGATGCTTCAGAACGAGTTCGGCAAATTTTTTTTTTTAAACAATTTGACTGACTGCCGGGCAGCCAGCTTTTTTTTTTCAGACCTTGTCGGTCATTGTCAGCCCGATAGCCGACAGCTTTTTTTTTAAAAAAAAAAAAAAAAAATTCCCGCCGCCGGTTGACGTGTCAGAAGTCAAAAAAAAAATTTGATGAAATTTGGGTGCTAGACTGACACGACCCGGTACCCATAAATTTGTACCAGAAGCTTGTCAGATCGGTACATGTCCGAATTTTTTTTTTCTCGACCATAATCTGAGTAATTCGCCGAGAATTTCTCATGAAAATTATTTTCGATCTTCAATGTTTTTTTTGTAGGCTTCATACTTTTATTGATAAGCTGTTGAGTTTACACAAAGATTGGGGGCTCCCCATACCAATTTATATCACAGATTGAACGGTAATCCACTCTATTGCTAAACTATATTATTTACTAAAGAATGGGATCAAATGCAGCAAGTGAACCTCCTAATTTTAAGCATAGCTCCAAATTTTTTTGGAGCTTGGGTATAGTTCTCCATACTAGCACAATGCTGCGAATCTCTCTGAATAGCTTCTGGTTCCAACCTCTCCAAACAGCATAAACTGTAGCAGCAAAAGCTACATGTTTCACACAAGAAGCAAAACATCCCTTGAGAGCCATGGTTGACCATCCATTGTAACTCCTCACTCTAGCCTTTAGGATCTCTTTTTATCTTGCATTTCCTCAGTACACACGACCAAACAGAGGCTGAAAAATGCAAACAAAAAACAAGTGTTCAATGGATTCATCAGCAGTAGAACACAGAGAGCAGTAAGGGTCTACTGACATCCCCCATGCTTGTAGTCTACCCTTCGTTGATAACTTAATTTGACACGACAACCACAGAATAAAAGAGTGCCTTAGAACATGCTTCTCTCCCCATACCAATTTACTCCAAGAAACAGAAGGGCGAAGAGTGGTGAGCAGCTTAAATGCAAAACTAGCAGTACAGCAACCTTTAGAATCAACATTCCATACAGCAGTATCAATTTGGTCAGGCATAGGAACAAGTGAAGGTGGTGTAGCATTCACTATTTGCACTGCTTCACCTATGTGTCTTCTACCAGTAGGCCAAACCCATTCTCCACTTTGAATAATGGAGAATACTTTTTTGCATCTGTAGACTCCTAAACAAGTGAATTATGCGATCAAGAAACACTTGGAGTAATGGTCCAAGAGGATGCCACCAATCATACCACAAGTGTATTCTCTGCCTATCTCCTGTTACCATTTGAATACTTTCCTGGCAAGAGGTTTCAGCTTTAATACTTTGCACCAATTCCAAGATGAGAAGGCACTTGGTTGAATAGCCCCAAAGCTTTTGCCTTTCAGCATATAAGCCCATACCCACATAATCCATAGAGAGTCCTTCTTGTGAAATATATCCCAAATATGCCTAATCATAAAGCTCTATTCCATTCTTTCAAACTTTTGACCCCAAGCCATCCTCAGGAGCAGATTTGCAAGCTTCCCTCTAGCTTACTTTAGCTCTACTAAATGATAGCTTCCCTCTAGCTTACTTTAGCTCTACTACATGATAGCTCAGCACCAGACCATAAGAAGGCATTTAGTGGACTTTCAATTTTCTTAATTAGCTTCTTTGGCAAAACAAATATTCTTGCCCAATATACCTCTATATGGTAGCTTCCTAGCAGACCAACTTCTAATACATGCAAGAGTCTTGTCAATAATTGGCTGACAATCAGTAGTAGTTAACCTGGTAAATATTAAGGGCACTCCCAAGTACTTAACAGATAATTTGCCTAATGGCATACCAATAACATTAGCAAGAGCACTGCAATCCTCATCTAAGACACAAGTTATAAAGATTTCAGATTTAGCCATATTTGGCCGAAGTCCAGACATCTTAGCAAATTCATTCAATGTTTCTCTAAAAGTGCTTAGAGACTTGGCATTAGCTGTAGCCATTAAAAATAAGTCATCAGCAAAAATGATATGAGATAACTTCAGAGACTCGCATCTGGGGTGATAATCAAAACCCAAGGCTCTGATGTTATCATCAAAGAGTTGTGTGAAGACCTCCATGACCAGCAAAAACAAATAAGGAGAAATGGGATCTTCTTGTTTTAATCCTCTACTACTGTCAAAATAACCCATCAACAAGCCATTTAGATTGATTGAGAACCTGGCTATGCAGAAACAATTCATTACCCAATTAATGAAAATAGGAGGGAAGTTCAAAATTTTCGCCACCTCAAGTAGAAAACTCCGTCTTACAGTATCATAGGCCTTTATTATATCAACCTTACCTACACATCTCTCCTGTCCACCCTTCTTGTGATAATTCCTGACCAACTCATGCATAAGAAGGGCATTTCCAGAAATGGATCTTCCTTTAAGAAATGCAGCCTGTTTATTAGAAATTAACCCATCAAGTACTGATTTCAGCCTTTCAGTAAGAACCTTTGAATAAACTTTATACACCACATTGCAGCATGCAATTGGCTTATACTCTTTCATGCCAACGGGGTGAGCAATCTTTGGTACCAGATTAAGTATAGCACTGTTCAAACCAATAGGCATTGTTTGAGTAGCAAAGCAATGTAGAATGGCAGCAATAAAGTCATCTCCTATAGTGTTCCAATTACTTTTGAAAAATTCAACTGTGTATCCCTCAGGGCCTGGTGCCGTGCCTTTTTTCATTAAGAAAAGAGCTGATTTAATCTCCTCATTGCTAATACTCTGAGCCAATAATTTTGCTTGCTGTTCAGAGAGTTTGTTGGTAAGGACATTATGTAGCCTCAGCTGCATTTGCTTAGACATAGAACCGAATTCAGTGAATAAGTTTTGATAAAACTGAATAGCCTCTTGCTTCACATCTTCATATTCAGTTAGCTTTATCCCCTCATTAGTAGTAAGGGTAAGGATCTTATTCCTAGTATGATGGATTTTCAATGTTCTGTGAAAGAAAGCAATATTTTTGTCACCATCCTTCAACCATTTAACTCTGGACTTGTCTCTAAGAAATTCCTCTTCTGCAAGAACAAGTTCAGAATATGTTGTTGCCAGTTCCTTTTCAATTTCTTGTAGTACCTTGTCAAAAGAAAGGTCTGCTAATTGCTGTTGCACATCCCCAAGCTGAGCTATACAATTTTGAACTCTCACCGTTATATTACTGTAACATTTCTTATTCATCTGCTTCATGGCTTTGAGTTTCAACCAGCATATCAACAGGATTTCCCATAGAGTTTAAGTTCCATGCTTCAGTAAGAATAGACTGAAAATTCTTGTTCCTCGTCTAGAAAGTATGAAATTTGAAAGGAATAGGGCCTGGGTTAAACTACTTTTTAATATCAACAAACATGGGAGTATGATCAGATAAAATAGGATCCATAAACTCAGCCTCAACATGTGGAAAAGTTGAAAACCAGGAAACAGAAGCCATAATCCTATCAAGTTTACTATACATTCTTTCTTGCTCTTCCCTTTTATTGCACCAGGTTAAAAACTACCCTTTAGTAGGGATATCATCAACATCAATCTGCTCAATACAATGTTGAAATTTAGAGATTGCAGGTAAATCAAACCCATCACCACCAATTTTCTCAGTAGAATATCTAATGATATTAAAGTCTCCCATAAGTAGCCACGGTAAGCCTGCCAACTGAGTTTGTACGCTCTAAAGGCAATGCCATAGTCGCCTTCTATTCTCCATATCATTTGCACCATAGACAAAAGATAGCACAAATTGCTGCTGCCAAGATAGACTTTCTACCACACAGTTGATAACTTGACCAGAGATTCTCAAAGGATTCACTTTGATAGTACATGGATCCCAGCAAAACCAAATTCTCCCTGTTCTATGTACAGTAGTATTATGTATACAGTTCCAACGAGGACATATCTGCCTAAACACAGTATCAAAATTACAGTGTCTTACTTTAGTTTCCACAATACCCAAAATATTTAGTCTACAACTACTAACCAGTCTTCTAATTTCATCTTGTTTAATGGGGTTATTTAAACCCCTTATATTCTAGCAGGCTATATTCATAATAATTGTGATAGAGGATTACCTCCACCTCCTTTCCTTCTTTGCTCCTTCACCTGGTTTTGAATTTGAGATGATCTTTTCAACGGTAGAGGTTGGTCTATCTTCTTTTTCTCTTTATTGCCACCACTATTTGACACTTCCTCAGTCATCTCCCCCACATCAGCAAGAAGCTTGAATTTATTAGCTGTAGAAGTGGATGGACCATTCCGGGGAAGAGGTGGAAAATCATCTAGAGGAGGCACAATAGGCTCAATGGGCTCCATAGAAGCATCACCGCAAGCATTTACAGTAGGCTCAGCAGGTGGCCTGGAAACAATAGGACTCTCATCATGGGTCACTTCCTCATCTTCAGGTCCTAGGCTTGGCTGAACAGTAGAGGATGTAGTGCTCTGCTCTGGTCCTTTGGCCTTAGGAACCCAGACGGACTTTAGTTCAGGTTTGTTTGGACAAAATTTTATGATATGACCAAACTTAGTGCATTCCTTACACCAAGGAGGCAACCATTCATATTCAACTGGTTGTGATTGAGCCAACCCAAACTCATTTATGTAAGGGACGCAATCGGGCAATTTATGGTCCATTTTTAGCTCAACACTCACTCTGGCATAAGAAATTCTTTCCTGCGTAGCAGTCATCTTGTCAGTGTATAGCAGCTTATCCACAAAACTGGCTAGCTTACTCAAACTTTTCTTAGTGTAGTAGTGCAGCTTAAGCCCAGGAAATCGAATCCAGATGGGCACAGTCTCCAATTCCTCAGTAATATCCATTTCCTTAGACCACGGCTTTAAGAACAGCATCTTACTCGCAAACGGCCATGGGGATTGATTGAGTATCTCAATTTTCACATCCTCAGAGACACAATTGAAGACAAAAACCCCTGATTTCAAGAGTGAACATTCAGCTTTGCCATATTTCTACCATCTCTACTTGCAGAATAGCTTCATAACAGTAAAGGGAGGAGGTTTACCAAGTGTAAAGCCAATGATAGCATGCTTCCATTTTTCCACACCTTCCACCACATCCACAGGCTCAATAACCACTAAATCAACTCCTTCAATCGGTTTACTTGGGGGAATATAGGCTAATCCCAGTCCATCATGAAAGCATTGTTTTTGCCTTACCTCATCCGCCCAAGATGATGATGCAGATGCACCATCCGAGGTAGCAAGGAGACCCCCAGCCCAGGGATTGCATCGGCCCAAACAACTCCCGATGGATGGAGCTGAGATGCATCAACTCTCTTAGTAGATCTCAACCTCAAGCAGCTGCGCAACAAGGTAGGCGAACTTGTAGTCTCCATTGACAACCTCTTGCGAGGATAGGCCCCTCTGCTACACCTCTCCAATTACACAACAATCAATAAATCCTATTCCAGCAATAGCGAAGAGAACAGCAATTTCTGGAATTGTTAACCACCAACTGAGAAAGTAAACAATCAAGGAGGAATCGGAAATAGAGAGGATCAAAAGCCCTAACAAACTACCCCATAAGAGCTACAGAGAGCTCAGCAATGGAGGAATTTACAGGTGCGCACGTTAGTAGAGTATAAGGAGCAGTTCCCATTTCAGCCCTTTGTTTCCTTCAGTTGTCTCTCAAATTGTTTTCTCGATGTTCAATGTTTGTTTTAATTTACTTTTTCAAACAAGAGCAAAAAGTGTATATAATCTGCTTTAAAAATGGAATTGGTTTATTATCACATTTGAAATAGACATACCCATTATTATTCCTTTTCTCGAAGACAATAAAATAGTCCATGTGTTTGAGCTAAAATTTATATTTCAAATAAAATGAGCCGAAATCTAGGGCATTTTTAGCTCGAGCTCTTGCATTATACAATACACCAGGTGATGTTGGCTATGCTACACACAGGTACTAACCAAAGCTCTTTTTTTTTTTGTCACAAACCTAAAATGATGGAACCAAATATGCTAAATATTCCTGTTACATGTATAAATCATATAGTACTCGTCTAAATTACAGGATCAACTAGTACAAATTTAGAGTATTGGGTCGAACTTTTGGTACAATTTGAAGCTAGAATTGCATTAGGAAATTGTTTTAGTTTGTGCACTATCAATTTGGAATTAAAAGAAAAAAATTCAGAGTTAAAAGGAAAAAAAAAGAACTTTATATTCAAAATTTTGAAGTAATTTGTAAAACACCTAAAATTCAATAAATGTATGTTTTGATGAAAAAAATAATGGTTTTGCCCCTAAAATACCTCAAATCAAATTTGAAACACAAGAACTAAACTTTTCACCTTTGCGTAGGCAAATTGTATATGAAAAGAAAATCAATTAAGCTCAAAAAATTCTCACTTTTTTTTTAAATAATACCCTAGATTTTGAAAAATGAACTTAAGTATGTTAAATACTAACTTTTGAGCTTTGTTTTGATTTTTGTTAAAATTCATACTTTAGGTGAATATGTGAAATTTTTGTGACTAATGTATTTCATTTTGTACATCTAAGGGGTCAAACTTTGTTAGTGTAAATATGAGGAACTAAAAAAAAATAAAAAAACCTAAAATGTGAGGACCAACATGCATCATTTGAAAGTGTGGGACTTAAGGTCTCTTTGATAATATAAAAAGGTACTGAACTTCAGATGTTTTGAGTGTTTGATAAATAAAAATTCATCTGCTGAACTTGTGTATATTTTTTTCAATACAAGAATCCTAACTGCATGCTTAATTCTGATAAGAATCAATAAAATTACTTCAACTACCTTATTTTATTTACCAAATCTACCCTTATTTGTTAATTATATTCAAAATTTTTATCTAATTAAACAACCTAATATTTTCTATCTAACGGTTTTCTGTTTCTCTTTCCTTCTTTTTTAATAACTTTCACATCTTTTCCATACTTCTCATATAATATATTTCATCTTTCATATTAATTTGATTTAAAAATAAATATTATCATTTTCATATCTAACAATTTTATCATATCTAAAATAAATATTATCATTTTCATATCTAACAATTTTAAACTAATTAAATCATAAGGTCTATTTCTTTTTTGAATGAAAAGATATAAGTGCAAAATGATCAAATTAAACTTATTAAGTATTCAGTTATAAATATTTATCAAACAGTATAAATAAATTTAATACTAAAATTCAAATATTCATATATTTTTTTAATATTTAAAATTTAATAAATTAATTATTTTAATATTCAGTTTTCAGAATTCAAATTTAATTTATCGGACATTAGAAAGTAGAAAACTCATGGTCAAATGTCAAATGCACAAAAAGGAAGTCGTTGGAGCAGTGGTTTTTGCCTTTTGGCGTCAGTTTTTTGGGCGCTCTCCGTCAAATATCACCCTCAAAATTAGAAGCAATCAGCCTATCGAGCACAGCCGCACCCATCTTCTGCCGTCGTCGGGCCTACCGGAGGCGCCGACAGCCAGCCAGCCAAATCTGAGGTCCAAGGTCCCACTGTTTGGGGTAGAGCAGTCACCCAAAATCTTGCAGTGGCGTCAGCGCCAGCACCGAATTCGCGGCCAATTCTCCAGGTTACAAGGTTGGTGCCCCAACTTTGCCTTTCCCGGCACTATATCTTCCTCCTGGCATTAGATTCTGCCTCCTTTCTTTGTGTATATTTGTGTGTGGCCATTTTTTTTCTTTTTTTCTCCCTTATTGAAAATTCCTTGTTCTGTGTACAAATTTTATCCATTTGATTTTATTGGAGTGTCGAAATCATTTGCAATTGTAAGCTTAACAAAGTGTTACTTTTGCCAAAACTATTGCTGAATCCGTTTGAGTACGGTTGAACTGTATATCTGACTAGAGGATGGCTTAAACATAGGATAAACTCAATTTTAGCAGCGAAAAAAAAAAGTTAAGTAGGAGTCCGAACAACTCAACATGCTAATCTGAGTGGAAGGAAAATTAGTTAACAAGGTGCAAATTGGCATAAAGGCACCAATTTGCGCCTCGTGAATTCATAAGAATCTTAGAAGAATTTGCTTTAATTTTAAGTTAGTGAAAATCATGAAGGCAACTGGTTGATAAAAGGAGCAACACATATTGATCTAGATGCTATGGGGATTTTCTAATTTTTTTGCCCTTCATTGATAATTTCGATGAAGAAAAAGGAGCAATGCAAATTGATCTAGATGCTTTGGGAACTTTCTGATTTTTTTTGCACTTCAACTATTTGCCTCTATATTCTGCCATTTTTTTTTGTTTATTTACTAGTTGACTAGGCGCTCATGCGTTGCATAAGTTTGCCCAGATTTTGCTTTTATATCCATAGAAGAGTTAGTAGGAATTAGTTGGATAGAACCAAAAAGAAAAGGAATTAGTTGGCAAAGATGAAGATAGAGAGGTCATGTAGATGCATGGTTGTATATTATATATATATATATAGAAAGGCATTTAAATTTACAGGTCCTATTACCAAAGTGACATATTGTTAATTCAACCTGATGAAGTAGGATTCTGATAGCAATGAATTGCTCTTGACCTGTTGAAGTAGTCTGATGACTGGTAGATGATGAAGTTATTGGTAACTTTGGAAGTCTTCTGCAGGAAGCTTCTCTTTGCACACAACACATCATACAGTAGTAGTATGATAGCCAGTTGATCTTCGTTTTGGTTGTTGATACTGCATCCAATATAGAAAAAGTGCTATGTGGCAAAATCAAACTTCTCAGCCATAATCTGATCAACTGTAGCATTGCCAATGTAGTATGTGCAATGCAACTGTAGCAAATCATTTAGGATATCTATGTCAGGGTAGTACATAAGACCTTGAATTGTCTTTTCTGCTTTAGCTAAATGTGAAAATTTCAACAGTTTTATGTTGCATTATAACATAGTGAAATAGATTACCACAAAAATGAAGAGGGCGAAGTGTGATTTAAGTGTTTATGATATAAACAAACACACATGTCAAACAAAACTGATTGTAAACTGCAGAATTACAGATTCCAGGAATGTCAGGCATTAGGAGTGTGCAAGTCAAATATGTAGTTATATATCTAAATGTCAATAATCATCAGTGGCGCGAAATATCACAAAAATTGGCTTCAGAGCACTGCCAAATGGTATATCTCTAAACTTGATGTGGGACAAGATGGGTGAGATCTTGCCTACTAATGGGAGCAGAAGAACAAGGATCTTGAGACTGTTTTGGGGCTGTGAACATTACCGTGGACAGTGACGTGGTGAGAAAAGAGGGGAAGAAGCAGAGAAGCTAGGAGAAAGAAGAACAACACAACTAATAAACCAAAACTCAAACTCTATAAACATAAGTATTTATAAAGTAAAAAGCGACCTAAAACTCCTATTTCCATATTCTAAATAGGAAAATAGCTAATTATAGAACTCTAGAACTTTCGGGAACTTTCCCATTCCCTATAAGAATGACTTGAACAACATACCTGATATTGTAGATAACTCAAAAAGGCCCAAAATGACTGACATTCTGGAAATTTCGAGTGACAGAGGAATGACCGAATTTTTAAGGCCTAATAATAGAAACTACTAAACAAGCAGAGAACTTTGACCATGTTAGACTCTAGGAATCACAATGGACAGACTCCTTGAGACCAAAACTTCTTCTTTTTTGGGAAAGGATCCTTTAGTTTATTCTTAGCTTCCAAGGACAAGAATATTTATCCAACCACCTTATGGTTGGGAAATTAGTGGAGAAATTGGTAGAGAAAAAGATAGGGAAGGGAAACCAGTTATTATGGCTTTTTGCTGATTAGAACTTGAAGCTACCAAAATATTGTTGCCAGCTGTGTCAATTGGCTGCTAACCCAGCAATAAAGCTTCAATTCAACTGGTTCAATGAGCCATGCCATCTAATGTAGAGAGAAAATATTGTAAAGCTTCTAAATTTTATTTCTTTTCACTTTCATGCACTTTTATCTTTTAACAAAGCAACTTCTTTTGGATGTCCTTTCAAAATCTTTCGAGGAAGTCTCAAAGTTTGAAAAGAGTTCTGCATTTGTAACCATATTGGTCAACGAAGAAGAAGAAAATATGGCTGACAAAGGGGAAGAAAGTTTGGGCTCTGAATACCAGACTCATATAGGCCAAGCTGGATGAGATCTTGCCTACTAGCGTGAGCGGAAGAAAGAGAGGAACTTGGGACTCTTTCCAGGCTGTGAACAGTAACCATGAACAGAAACATGGGAACGAAAGAGGGGAAGAAGTAGAGAAAAATTCTTGGTGACTGTGAATCAGGGACTATGGTACTGATTTCATAATTCTGAATTGGATGGCTTGTGTTTTAGTGCAGTGAGTTGTCCAGGGATAAAACTAGTAAGGAATCTCATATGATGCCATGACATTTTCGTGGGGTAGCTTGGCAATGTTGCTTTTGACTTATCCTCAATTTGGTCATTGAAGCCATGGCGAGACATGCAGACATAGAACCAGTACATGGCCATTATTTACAGCTTTTAGTATTTTGTGTGTTAGAATTTGCGAGTTGGAGGTATAATGATTAGAAATTTAATAACCTAGTTGGATTCTCAACTTACATAACTACCTTCTCTTAAATTCTATTCAAGGAAGTTAAAGTGGTCTTTTTGGAGTGCTTGTGGGTCAGTCCCATAGGCTTGTGGCGGTTGTTGGATGTCATACTCAGTTTATAGTAAAGTAGTTAACATATCGCAAATACTTTGCACCATTCACAGTCTAGCAATGTCTTTGAAGTCACTACAAAAACACCATATAATGGCCTCATACTAAAATAAACTGCTGGTATAAGGGATTTCAGAGAAATGGCCTCATGCTAATATAAACTGCTGGTGTAAGGGATTCCAGTCTCTGGAATCCAAGAATCCCCAGTAATAAAATTAGAAACTGTGAAAGGAATGACTTCCTCGGACTGATTCAATGCTTTATATCCCACCCATGAAATTCGTCTCCTTGTTCCTGCGCCAGGGCCCCAATTACCGTATTCTATATAAGTTAGCTCATCTGTGCGATGGCCTGGCCACTCGTACCACCCAGCTGGGTCTACGATGTTATCCAGGAAGGATTGCATCACAATCACGGTCGACCATGCAAACCATGGTCTTCCAAGAAAAGCGTGAACCTGTGATTTGTTGGACTGTAAACCCGGGACTGCTGTCAAAGTGGAATTTTGAATGACAAATCCACTAACTTGACCGGGTAACTGTTTTCCCTGTGCAGTGAAAGTAATAATGCGGTTAGGCAACCGCGCATAGAAGTTGCAGCTTTGAAAGACTGCTGCAGCCTCGCCAAACACAAAATCAACAGTGCCATAGATTTCACACTCCTTATAAAATTGCTTGCCGAACTTTGCATACAGCGTGTCATGGTACCCTAAAAATGTACATCTGTAAAATGATGATTGATTAGACTCGGACATTAGGGCAACAGCTTGACTGCCTTCTCCTGCTGAGTTCTCGAAAGTAATGTACTTTGCTGAGAATTGATCACCTTTAACAGCTGCAAACAATGTCATGTAATGGCATTTTAATAAGCTTTATATGCTATGAAATGGATAAAGAAAAGATAATGTTTATGAAAAAGAAAAAAGAAAGGAAAAGAAATCGTAAATACAGCTTGCTGAAAATTTTAAATCCTATATGCAATATTTGTTCCACTGCGAAACCAAAATGAACTTCTAAATCTTCATCTTCCAAGACCATGCAACATGAAAATATCTATATGAATATACGATCTTTGATTATTCTTTCTACTGATAGAGTTGGTAGTATTATTGCCAAAGAAGTAAGCTTTCTGCAAAGAAGTTGGTACTATTTACGATGGGGGAGTATTTCATCGTCCAGTCTGTCTTATTAAATTTAGGCATTGTACTGTGTAGAATGTATGAATTACATAATCTTAATAACGCAGCATGGTGTATGTGAAATTGTAGTAGTACTCCAAAGAGAATAGATTGCTGCAAGAAGCAAATGAGCTTGAAGAATTAAAGCTTTGAAATTCGAAAGCCACTATAACTTTGTAGAGCTAGACATGGTAGAGGGTACATACTACAAAGCGTGCATGTTTGATATTGTTGAAATCTTGTGTTTGATATGGATATAGGCAACAATTAAATGCTGAACTTGCATTTCTGTAAGTGTGCTTGCATTATGTTGTTCAACCTTTTTTACCCTCTCCAGTTGTAGTTATGCTTTATTTGGTTATATTTACATGGCTTAGGATTCTTCTACAAGCTTATGAACCACTATGATTTCCTTAGGCTTCTTAGTGTAAGTGCATTGATTTTGCCCGTTGGGTAATTGTTATCAGATAACTCAGTTTTGCTTCTTTTTGTACATGCTTGTAGGCCCTCAAAAATATTCATTTAGACCTCACTTGGAAGAATGAATATGAAGAAATAGGACAAAGCAGTGAAGTTTAATATGATAAACAAAACAAAACAAACTGTAAGGCCTTTAGATAAAAGGACAAAATTGCAAGGTGAGAAAGGGCAAGAGTAAGAACATAAATTGAGAGAATAAATTTCTGATAATTGTTTTCTCACATGCAAATAATCTGGCAACTAGGCCTTTATGTAAAACTAAGATAAACCCAGTCCTTATCTGACTTTAGTACCATAACACTCATGGACTCAATAACATAGACAATATTGATATCAAATTCTAGCTAATAAAGTTTCTGAAACACAAAGCCATATCACCTAAATAATTGGAATAGACTTGTTTAAACCTACTAGAAGGCTTCTTTGCTGCATTAAAAGGAGAGCTTCAATGAACTGCAACAGACAAATGGTGAAGTTCTATAGTGCAGTGAAGAAAAAAGAAAGAAGTTAATAGAAACAAAAGGAAGGCTTCTGATGTCCCCTGTTTATCTCACTCTGCTTTTTACTACTCACCTTTTCATTAAAATTCACCATTTACACGTTAAAAAAGCTGAAATGTTGTGATCCTACTAAAGCAAAAGTAGAAAGCATAAATCGCAGTCAGAAGTCCTTACAAACAGTGGCAGTTTCGTAAGTTTTGAACTCAGGGAATCTCCTGTTCATTGTGATTTTGGTTAAATTTTCACCGTCTCCAATCAAAGCTATATTTGTCTTATTTCCCCACACTTCCACAATCTCCTCATATAAACCTGCCTCCACATGAATGTAGTACCTGGATTGACTCTGAATGGGTGCCGATGCAATGGCATCCATTATCCTTCTATATACTCCAGGTCTTGTCTTGGACACGGTTGCATTAAACATAATGCCATTTCCATGAATGTTGCTTGATTTCTTTTGTCCTTTCAGCTGGAAATGTATGGAGATGTAAACAGATATAACCATAACCAATGCAATCACAATGATGACTAAAGCGCCCTTAGCCATAGCTCCCTATCTACACAGGGTGATTAGTGGTCGATGCAAATAGCTGCCTGAGCGTTCTTCTTGTTAAGTAGTTGGTTGCAGGGATGAGTGGCAATTCCAACCTATCACCTGGAGATGTTTCTGCTAGGCTAAAAGTGTATCTCTCAGGCACGAGTAAAAGAGGCAGATGACTACTTCAATGATGTCTCAAGACTGCTTGAAAAACATCCAAAGCTTATGGTGCTCTTTCAAGTTGCTATGCCAAGAAGTTGATGAAGAAAACTGAGGAACTTATGCAGAGAATGACAGCATCTCGTTGTAACACAAAAGTTATCATACATGAAAGTGCTTAACCTCTAATTTGAGTTGTGGTAGACTAAGAGACTTTGAGAAGTTTATGGAAGAAATGGAAACAGAAGGCATTTTGTTGCATCAACTTTGAGTACTACGTCTTGTTGAAAGCATATGCTACTGATTATTATACTAAAGCCACAGGAAAACTCTTGAACAAAATTGAGTTGGAGGCTCTAGTTCACGCGGGATACAACATTTCTTTTTCATGGCAGCAAAGGAATGCTTAAGAGCTAGCCTGGTAAAAAAGTCTTCTGAGATACTAAACAAGGCAGAGACACTCAAGGGGGAAGCAAAGTGTACGGTATACATCCATGAACTTCTCCTTGGTATGCATTTGCATTCAACTAGCAAGAACTAGAATGAAGTCGTCAACTCTGGCATCTGTGCAACAAGAGGGGCTATGTAAGCAACTCAGAGCATCATGACATGATACGATTTTCAATCAGTTTGGATGACATTCAAGGAGCTGAAAACATTTTCCAGGAAGGTGAATCTGTGAAAAACCACCGCTTACGACTTGGATATTTTTGAGGACAAGTTTAATGCTTATGCTAAAATGAGATTGCTGGGAGTGGCAGCAGCAGTGGTACGAAGCTGTGGTGAGTGGAATGAAGGTTCCTGCGGAGGCATGGGACCAACTAGCATATCTATACTACAAAGATAATCAGATGAAGAAGCCTGTTGATGCAATGACGAAGGCCTTTCTATTGTGAAGGCATTTGTTGGACATCAAACCGCATTAACATGTATTGAGTATTTAAAAGAAAATGGAGATGCAGAAGTTTACTGATATTGATGGGGAACGATATCATGATTGCCAAGGAATTGGGTAGATTTAAAATTGTTACCTTAGTCCTAAAAAAGGAAATAAAAGACTAGCTATCTGTTATTGTGTTTGTATTTTTATTCTATCTTGGTTTTCAGACATAATATTTCATTATTTCTGGCGGTAACCTACTATAGCCAACTGAAACTTTAATCCTTGCCCAAAAAAGGATGATTTGGTTGTTGAATTGCTTTGAGTGTATAATGCAAATGGATAAAAACCATTTCAGGCCAATGGACATCTTTGGGGGTAATGAAGAATTGCGAATGGATAAAACCATTTCAGGCTAACGGACGTCTTTGGAGATAATGACCTGAAACTGCCTGCTACATAAAAATATGCTTGATATTCAGAACATGATTTACTTCCTGCGAAGACCTGTCATGCAATGAATCATCTGGGGGCTTTCCTCCTTGGTCGGTGATCACAACTTACAACCGTAAGTAGGCACAAACACAATAATGAATTCTTTTTGTTTTTAGTTTTTGAATATTAGACTTAGCTGCCTTCATTTGAATGCAGTAACTTGATGGCCAATAGCTCCACATTACCAGATTCTAACAGCAGATGAATGCAAGAAATCATTCGTATATTTAGTGATTATAAAGTGAGTGAAAGGATATTTCTCTACTTTTTGGAATAGCAATCATGATCGAATTCTTTAGCTGCTGTTTAATTTTCCGTGTACCCTTGTGTTATAGTAGTATTTGGACCAAGAAAACTGCTAAGGCCTGACTAATGGATGTTAACAGATATACATTTATGAATATTTAATGTCCATTTTTACAAAAAAAATATGCTTACGTGAGCTTGAGCGTTAGTCAAGGATACTCCAGAGTGCAGAGTAGCATTGACTTTGTCTACTGGACTGAAATTGCAAAAATATACCATTTTGGCAAGAGTGAGTTATCAGTCATTACCATATAAAACTAACAGCGCATTTATGTATAACCTTGACAACTACGCAATTCCACCATAATTTACAGAGATTAAAATCTTTCAACATACAGATTGATGCAAATTGAACTGCTAAAGTTTCTGATTTTTCGATTATTACTAAACATTCCAGAGTCCAAGTGCGATAATAGGCCGACCAAGCCAATAGGCTACATTGGTACAGAATACTTTGGTCTACATGTATTGACAGTGAAGAGTGTTGATGTCTGTGGTGTTGGGGCAGTAGTATTAGAACTTTTGACGGGGAAAAGGGCTATTTAACAATGGCTATCTGCGATAAATCTAATATTTCCTCTAGCAGCAATGGTATTTTGCTCAGTATCAATGGTAAGCATGCCATAACATTGTAGCAAATCACCTGCAAATCACCCTCCCTGCTCATGCAGAATAAAATTAGTCTATCCCGAATGAAGGTAATTCAAACGTAATGTCCATCCAAGCTTGGAATTGTCAATCCAGTGCACTGTACGATTTATGTTAATATCAATTCAGAAATAGTGAATATATGATAGATAGAAACATCTGTTACTACACTGTATCCATTAGTAGAGTTCAATACAGTATAAGAGATGATATTATATTTGGACATAGTTTTTTTTTTAAATTTCATTCTCTCTTCTGAAATGGCATCTAACTAAAAACTCAAGGCTATGGTGGCAGCAGTTCATTGGATGAGCAAAAACTAGACGAGTCCTTTTTTGTGTCAAAGAGAATAACATTTTATCTACCTAGCATGACATGTCCAAATTGTACGAATGATCCAGGTAATAATGATATTCATTGAAATAATTCACAAGATTTTACTCGTCCCTAATGTCAAATCCATAGATAGGTTGCATCTAAAATGATCTGTTCTGTACGAGTATACACAAGAAGACACCCTTCCAAATGAAGAACGAGCCATTGAGTTCTTAAATCAAATCAATTTGAAGTAAATAGAGGGCTATTTTCTTTGTTTCAAGAAAATTACAAAGACCGTAACCTCTTTTTATTCTCAAAAAAAAATGTAATGGATTTTAGCTTTGAGTCTTTGACCTTATTTATCAAGTGGCATTTGTTATTTAATTATTAGGCTATATTTTTACTCCTTGTGTAATTGTATAGCCTGTTCTATTATGATTGGTTTAGATAATCAATCGTGAATCCTGAAAATTCAAAGAATTTAGGGCGTGATAATATTGGTTAATGTTTATTTTTCACCAAGACAACATATATTATATTTTGTTCTTTATTGAAACATCTATTGATCAGTTTCTTCATTAAACTTAAGATAAATGACCCTTTAGTCCAGTACTCTCTTGTAGCCAAACTATTGAGCTATTATGCTCTCTTCTGGTAAATTATCCACTTTTATCAATAGATGAATTTTCACATTTTGTCTGAAAAAATGATATTAACCTATTTCTCTTCCAGGAAAAAAATTGCCAAATTTTGTTATTATGAAAATATTGGTTGTCACCATGAATTATGTGATCAGACTCATGATCATTTGTTTCTTCTTGTTGTACTACCTATATGGATTAATCATGGCAATCTCAAGTTATATGATTATCATCCTTTGCAATTGCAAAACAAATTCAAAAATTATGAAAATTATTGACATAGTATTTAGTTCGAATCAATGTATTTTTATCAATCAATTTATCCAATAGTAAGTGATTTTGTAACAGCAAGGAAAAAGTTGTAATTGGACTTGATGGGTGTTTGGGTTATTCAGATAATCTTCAACTTATTTATTCGTATACTAGTATAAATCAGTTGATCCAACTTATCAATTCATACTGATATAAATGGGTTGATCTAAATATAATAATAATAAAATTGTTGTCAGAACTTGTTCGTATTACCTAAATTGCCACTTCGCAATTGTTTTATTTGCTTGCAACTTAATGTTCTAATTACGGGGGAGGGAGTGTAAGCAAGAGGTCTCGGGTTCGAGTCCTCCCGCTTACACAAAAAAAAAAAAAAAAATGTTCTAATTACCCAAATTGGCACGTTGCTATTATTCTATTTACATGCAACTTAATGAGTTACCTTACTGACCAAACAATTTTGCGTGTTTTGTAGTTCATGAATTCAAGGTCAAACAGTTTGATGAAAATTTGTGAAATGACCAAATGGAAATAAAGAAATTTTACCTTTTAGCAATTATGAAAAGAAAATGATAGAAGTGACCACATGGCACTTGAATTACAAGACAGTATTTTTTAACTTACTTTCTTTTTTACACATTTGTTGTCTTCACTCCTATTATTTTTCCCCCTAATTTTCTTTTCTTGGTGCATTTGGATGGTTAATCAATCAAAAATGGTAAAAGTTTCGAAGTTATTACTCGATGACCCAAATTTCGAACTTTTTTTCAACTCCAATTATCAAACATTTAAAATAGTCAAGTCATGAATTTTCAATATAACTAGTAATTGTTTAATTCAATTGTATTTTCTTTTTTAAATTTGTTTTCTATTTATGTCCTCCTACCAAATCTATAATCCAAACAAAGGATTTACCTTCTTTGGATCTTTTTTCATTTCCCAAGTATTTTCCTTTGTCAACCAAACAAGAGAAAAGAATATGGTTTACAAGGAACCTACTTTCCATTCTTTTACTTTCCTTTCCTCAATGGCTTCCTGGAACCAAACAAGGCTAGAGTTGTGAGCAGAAAGCTTTACCTCTTAGAGGACGGTGACCATCTTTTCTGGTAATCATTCCGAATCCGTTGTTTATCTGGTTGCATCACTCTACAAGGCCGGTGACCATCTTGTTTGAAACTTTTTGTTAGCTATTCTTCCTTTCAAGACTCCCACAATTGATTTGAAGTCTATAGCCACTAGGACACTAATGACCCATTTCCATTATGATGCTTTGATTCGAAATAAAAATTCCACCAAATTTTCAGGCACAAGTACCCAA